ACAGCAATAAGAGCCTTAGGGTAGCATAGAAAGAGCTTTTGGGGTGTCGAGGTTTCCTTTTTCTCTGGTCGGGTCTTTGAGTTTCCGGTTTTGGATGGGCTTTTTTGCGTTTCGGATCTCGGGTTTGAGGTTTGGCCCCTAGGCTCTTTGCAGTGTTCAGATGTAGACCCAGAGACCCCAATATGCCATAGCTAAGGAACATACCCTAAATCATATCAGGAGGGATGATCCTACTATACTTTACCCATAGGCCCCTAANNAGGTAATCCCAAAAAAAACTACTTAGGGGCCTATGGGTAAACCCTAAACCCTAAAACCCTAAACCCCTAAGCCCTCAACCCCTAAACCCTAAACCCTAAACCCCTAAACCCTAAACCCCTAAACCCCAAGGGGCCTATGGGTAGGGTATATCCCTTAATCAAGGGATAGTGGAGTCTCTGGCTCCTGCGCGCAAGGCTGGTTCGCTGCCAACCGACTGGTCAGAGGCCGGTCGGGGTTTAGGGCTTTGGGTTTAGTGGTTTTAGGGTTTAGGGTTTTAGGGCTTAGTGTTTAGGGCTTATAGGCTTTAGGGTGTTAGGGTTTAGGCTTTTAGGGGTTTAGGGTTTAGGTGGTGATGGTGGTCTCTCTCAGGAAGCTTCGTGCCGGATTAGAGACGGAATGCTGTGAACATGTCATGTGTTGGTGGTGATGAGAGTAGTAGCTGCAGCAGCAGCACTACTGGCCGCAGCAGTAGTGGGAGTGAAATGGTCGGTAGTAGTACCAGTAGCAGTCATCGTGGCCGTCGTCTCCGTCGTCCTTGCAGCAGGACGAGGAGTAGTAGAAGCAGCAGCAGGAGGAGGACGAGTTGAGTAGCAGTGGTAGGAGTAGTGGGAGTAGTAGTAGCGGCAGCAGCAGCAGTCGCAGCAGTAGTAGTAGCAGCAGCAGCAGAGGTAGTAGGCAGGCAGGCAGGCAGGCAGGCAGGCAGGCAGGCAGGCAGGCAGGCAGGCAGGCAGGCAGGCAGGCAGGCAGTCCGTCAGTCCGACAGCTCGTCAATCCGTCGTTCGTTCGTTCGTTTGTTGATTCATTCATTCACTTGTAACCGTACACGAGAAACGGTAGCTGCACCTATACACAAAAGGGGGGTTCATTCTCGTAAAAAGTTCGACATGGAGCATAGTCCTAGCAAGCAAGCACTTGCCAGGCCTTCAAGCCATCCTCGGCGAGACGCGAGTCCGGCTTCAGGTACTTCCAAAGGATGTCTGCCTCGATCATCAAACAATCGGCGCTTTCTCAAATGCTTTGAAGACTGTCTGGGCCAGCAACAAAAGCGATCAGAGATCCTGGGACATCTTGCAGTCTGGGATTTGGCTGGGCAGCACACTTCCCTCCAGCTACATTTGTGCTGACAAGCTGCTCTCGGCGGACTCCGGCTGCTGGAACGTTTGCTCCATGCCTGGTCCATGAAGCAGTTGGCACCCATTCGGCAAATGCATCAGAGCGGCCAATAACATCAGAACGAAACTGAGAACCCCGGCTCATCAGCGTTTTGTCGATGCTGCCTTACAGGTCAATGGCGTGCCGTTCGACGGCACAAAGTGCAGGCTCTGCTTTTGGGCGAAGGTGCTTTTGGAGAATAATCCGATGTTCTTAGGCATCGTCAGCAACTCCAGAATGGCCTGCTGAGGGACGACAGTGCTGCAACACCAGTTTCACGATGGATCCAACCCAGCCTCGCAGATGGCCTGTGCTGTGTAGGAATCCAGAGAGTCCATTAGCTCCTAGGTCAAAAGGATGCCAACAACAAAGGCTGCTCGACAACTTGCCAGCTCGTCATAAGCAGTCAAGCTACAATGAGCCGCTGTCTGGCATCGGACATGCGCGACAAACTTGCCTCGGAAGGTTCGGAAGACGTGCGAAGCACATGAATCTGCTTAATCTGCTACCGTTACATTGGACCGTGATTGCCTTCGCTCATGTCATATTCCCCTTGCCAGCCTTGGTCATGGCAACCAGACACAGCGCAAAGAATCGTTGGATTGGCCGTAGCCTGCAGGCGAGGTGAACCAAGCACTCATACTGCATCATGATCCGAACGGTCTCTCGTACTCTCGTACTTCGGCCCACACTTTTCAGCAACACGTCCATAGGAACTGGATCCCCGCAAGGCTGCAGCAGCTGCTGCCTTGCCAGAGCATTGCAAGGCAGCTCCGCAAATTTGCGCAGACAACACGAGCACCTCGGCATTGTCGTCCTTAGAAGCATCTATGTCCTGATCCACGCGCAAATCTCCATGCTGCTGTCACCCCAGCTGCCACCGTCCTGTCCGCCATTGACAACGGATCCTGATACTCACCACATCAGCATCTCACAGCTATTGAAGCTTTCTTCAAGAACTTGGGATGTCGCCATCGCCGATACCCTCAAGACTCTTCCTGGCGATCCGTGCAGCGCGTGCCCAGCCTTTTCTGAAACACAGAGGAAAACACGACATATGCACTTCCTGGCTTTCTAGTTCTGAGCAGAGCACGCAAGACATCTTCTTGGTACATGACGGTCTTGGACGGGTCTTGCCTCACTTCATCGCCAGGTCGTCTACCAATCAATTTAGTATCGTTGCGGCTAGCGGCTGCAGGATGACCATCTCTTCAGGCAGGGCCATGCCTCCCGAACGCGCACCCGACACCTTACAGTGCCTTCCAGTGCCTGATACTTTAGTTCTTCACATTCATGTTCATCCTCGCCATCATCATTCATGCAGCTAGGGAATCGATCCAAGCACTGGCAAGACCGACTCGCGAATTGAGAAAACCAGATCTGCACTGAAAGGAAGTCGCTCGTGACATGGATGACATGGATTCTCCGCGCTGAAGATTCCTGCACTGGAGGGAGGCTTCGTGCACCGAGGATCAACGCAAGGAAGTGCCAGATTCTGGCACTATGGATTCGGCACTGACCACAACGGATTCGTGCATACAAGCAATTCGCACACACATGCGCGCAAGGTCTGAAGCTCTGAGGCTATGAGGGGCTGTCACGACACGAAGGAACCAACAAACGAACGAGTAACGAAGGAGCGAAGGGGACAATCAACCGCCACTGCCCCCACCGTAGAAACATGATCAGGTGGGAGAGGGGTTCGGGATGGGATACGGCGCGGGAAACCCTAATCCGTGAAGCAAAAGCAGGGTTAATGGTGCCAAGAAAACCTCAAAACTACCTGGGGATCCGGCATATGTGGCGAAACTGCGTGTGACCGCGGGAAAAACATGGAAAATCTTAGCCTAGAAGATGAGGGAGGGGAGGAAAGTTATGAACATGAGGGGAAGGCCCACACCCAAAGCCCAAAGGAGACGACGGGTGCCAAACAAGAAACCATGGACGTAGACGAGTGGTAGAAACGTGAACAAGAGATGAAATGTAGGAAACTCAAAAACATAGGCGGAGGGCCCCAAACTCGAAAACCTGCTAAAGAAGATGCTGGGTTGCGAAAAACTAAACCCTAAGCTGTTTAAGCTAAAAGCCTGGAAAGGAATTAGGAGGCTGTGTTTGCGAGTGGCTGCTGGCGTGGATAAGTCGAGAACGAGGAATGGCACGCTAACAGCCGGAAGGCGACAAAGTCGAAAAGTTGGATTGGATAAAAGTTCTTTGCGAAAACCAGAAAAAAGACCCTGCAATACTATAAGTCTCGAAAATCAACAAAAAGCAGCAACCAGTAAAAATGTAAGCAGCAAGCGGCAAGTCAAAAAAAATCAATGCAAAAAGTCGAAGCGTATGAACAAAAAGGTGAAAAGTTCCAACAGCCAAAACGGTAGAACTATCGAAACCTATCGAGCATGTGAAGCATCCCAGATCCGCAGAAGGCGAAATCTCAAGAATTTAGGTCTAAGATCACGAAAAGACCGCCCGAAAACAAAGCCAAAAACATTTGTGTTGTGGATACTTGTTGGCTGCCTGTGTGGGGTCAACATTCAGCAAATTTTGACATTTACCCAGACCCGAAAAACTAGCCCGAAATGCATGTGTCTCGGTCAATCTTCGGTGCTTACGCCCAAAACTTATGGAAAGTTGCCATTTGGAATCCCCAACCCGAAAAAAGCACATACATGCCAATGGCTTCGCTCGTTCTGGGTGCTTTGAGGATGCCGAATCACTGAAATTTACGAGTCAAGGGACGCTGTTTCCAGCATGTCCAGGAGGTAGCCCAGTATTAATGCAAGCTGTTCCTGCGTTCGCCATGGCTGTTAGAAATCAGCCAAAGAAGCATACCCGAAAAACTCAGCCCACAGACCTACAGTACAAATGTTGTGGATACTTATTGGTTGCCTGCGACAATGCTACTACGGCTACTGCCGACTACTGCTCTTATTACTGCTGAGCCCACTAGCCACCCTTATCCCTATCCCAGCCCTAGCCCTTGGCCTGCCCCTTGTCTAGCAGAAAACCAAAAAGTCGAAAAGCATAAAACAGCATGCAAAACAGTTCGCAAAACCACCAAAAACCACATAAGTCGAAAAGCAGAAACAACCGACAAGTACCGAACAATCCGAAAAGCGCAGAAAATGCGAATAGTGCACACTTCCAAGAGCAGAAAACCTGAGAAAGCCGCGGCGACAAGTTCGAACAGCGCACGCAAAACTAGCAGCGAGAAGTTCGACACACGCAGCAAAATGCAACACGCCGAAACGCTGGACAAAGTTTGGACTTCCTGAGATTGATTCAGTTCTCCGATTATCGAAACCAATGCCTGCTTGATTGCTCGAATCGTGCAGTTACATAGTTACATCATGATCATCACAAACTTTGTCAATGGGACGCACTCGAACATGGACGTAGCTACCCTCCAACCCCCACCCATCCTCTACCACGCCACCCTCCCCGAAACACATCGAATAGGTTGAAGAGACTAAAACAAAACCACGAATTCCTATGTAGCGAGCACGAACTAGCACCACCTCCACTGACATGCCAAAGTCACAATCATGCAGCATCACTTCTTCTGAGCAGATCCACATCACACGCAAGGGAGCTGCTGTTTAATATACAGGGGTGTACATGTGGGCTTCGGTCTGATGCCAAAATCTTCCAAACTCGTTTCGAGCAGCACTTTGCCACCACTGTTCTCTGCACTTCTTCTGATCAGCAGGGCGTGCCATCATGGATCTGTTTCTAAACCGAAAGTAGGCAGCCGGCAGCCGGTTCATGATTTAGGAATCACACTATCGACATGTGCAGAGAGGCGACGACGGCAGACAGCTGAAGCGGTTGCCAAAAAGCCTTCTGCGACCTCGTCATTCGCACCCTCTTCTGTGTCCTGGCTACTGAGGCATTCCGGTCTTCTTGTGCGCTGAATCAGGCCAAGTGGTGCTGTCAATGCTAGAGTTAAAGAGTTACTAGGTGGCTTCGATGACCTTCTGCAGAGTCTGTCCTGCTCTCCTTTCGCCTGCGCCAGCTCCTGCAGCAGCTCTTCTTCAATGTCTTCCACCTGCCACTGAAGTAGGCGCGCTGCCGCACTCTGTGCACGGAGCAACAACTCGCGCCTGCTTGAAAATGAACTCCGCAACCTTGGGCTTCGACAGTGGCTGCAGAACCAACCCGTCAGTCAGAGTTCTTCCAGGATCCCGCTGTCTGGCTTCGATTGGGAATGATGGCGAAGGCAGCATTGCCTCGTTCCCGAACTGACTGGCTTTCGCGTGAACAACACTCAGTTCGGGTTACTTGCAATCCGGCTGCAATTCAGCTTCACCTTCTGCTCTGTCATGTCCTCGAAAGCTTGCACAAGCTTCACACATCTTGCTTCTGGAATCTTCTGGATGCTGAGTCCCTGCAGAGGCCTTCATGACCATGTTGGTGCAAAGGAGCTTCAGGACGACTCGGGGTGGCTCATCCTGCAGCCTGGCTTCAGGATTCATGGTCTACACAGTTCATCGGAGACAGGCCGCACGAGGTGCAGCCGCGCGGCAGCTCCGCATCCTCTTGCTCCACGAAGGGCTGGATGGCTCGCCCACCCATGAACTGCACCTGCTGAGCGAGGGATGAGGTAGCAGAAGTCCAGAGGGGCGCCAAAATCTGCCTGGTAGTAGATGGAGTCTGCGAAGTCTAGGCTCCTTAGACCATCTTCCGGAAGCCGTCTTGAAATGTGATGCTCATGACTTGACCTGAATCTTGTTTTGAGCCCTTGTGGCATCTATGCTGAGTTCCTGGCTTGCACAGGATCTTGTCTGCCGTGGTTCCCTCGTAGCGCTGGGTCACCTCCTGAGCACGTTGCATCACGTTGCTAAGCAGTCCCAAGAATCCAAATGCACACTGCAAGACAGACTGCGTCGTGTCCTCTCGCATCTCCTGCCAGGGTCGACAGCATGCGACTGGACAGTGTAGGAAGCCATACAGAACTTTGCTGTCGCACGGCCTCACCGCGTTTGGGCATCGGCTGGGTGTGGCACATCACCACTACGCAGGGAGGAACCTGCTGAAACATGTGAAGAGAAACTGCATCCATCCTTATCCAACTTCTTTGCGTCAAGGCCTCACGACGCTCCACGGGCTGGTCCAGCTCGGACTCGCTGTGCGAGATCCAGATGTAGATCCTGGCTTAGGTGGCGGCCGTCGGCGTGGGCACACGGATTCTGTGCAGTAAGATGGCCGGGCAGACTCGTTGGGGTTCTTGCAAACAGGGTAGAGCTGTTCCTTGTCTGGCTGCCACAGTTTGACCTGCGTTCTCACCTCAGCATCTTAGCATCCACGAGGCTCCTTCAAAGCTCGCAGCCTAGGGTCGCTGCATTCCCAACAAGCGGCGCAAGTGGTATGCACTCCACAGCAATTCCAGGCCTTACTCGACCAGAGAGTTCGAGCAGCGCAAGGTCCAGGTGTGCGTCTGTGTTTGTGGTTTCAACTCCGAGTTGGTTTAGACCCCCAATGAAGATATGCTCAGCGGAACCTGGGCTCTGAACAACGCCCAGCTGAGCACCCGGCGCCCCTTGGATCTGCAACTTTCGAATGCGGCTCACGCCCTGCGCATGCTCTGGTTTCATGGCCTTGGCCCACATCGGAAAACCGGAAAAGATTACGTCAAATGCTACAAGTCATACGAAGAACAGCAGGTGAGAATCGTAGCAATGGTCGGGACACGAATGAGACTCGACCGGGACAACAATCAAAGCACCGGGGACGGGACATCGACTTGACCGGGACACGACCGGCACACCGACTGAGACAACGACCGGCACACCACTGGACACGTGGGGACACGAATGGCTCGACCGACCGGGACAACTACGAAAACACCAACCAAAACGACACGGACACTGACGCAGATACGACCACCGGGACACCGAACTGACAGCGACACGAATGAGACTCGACCGGGACAACGACCAAACCTCGATCAAAATACTGATCAGAACTCCGACCGATGAGGACGCCGGCCAGCACATCGCCCGCGACACCGACCTCGACAACACCTTTAAGTGGGCAGCATCTGCCAGCGCGGGGGCCAGCAGAGGGCGTGTCTCCTCCAATCTGCATTCGGATTTGAGACTATATGTTTGGCAAGCATGAGCTTCGGATATCGTCCTGCATGGATTTCACACAGGACAGGCACCCGTAAAGGATCTTGCCGATGTAGAAACGCTCTTCTGCGGAGATCTCATCCTGACACATCAGAGCATCGGCACCGCGCTGGAGAGTTGATGGAATCCGCGGCAGAATCAGCCTCTGAGTAGGAAGTCACTGTCTCCATGAGGCGAGTCTGGTCACATTGCTTCAGCCTGATGGTCAAATAGCAGGGGTTGCAGACAGGTCTCCACAGGCATGCATCCTGAGGTTAAGGCACAAAGCCCAACAATGTCTCGTAAAGGCCCCGCACTCGCCGGTCACCTTGCTGCATGACCTCGGCCAAGAATGAGGCTTCACCAATGTGGCAGCAACTTTGCCACTTTTGCAGATCTGATCTGCCAGGGTCTAGGTTCAAGACCATCTCCATGAGGCGCTTGAAGTGGTGGGACCTGAGATCGAGCGAGCAGGGAGAGATGTCTGGATCTCTTCAGCTCTGAGCGCGGGTCTGGCACATGTCTTCGGCCCATGTCCTGGAGCCGCATTCGTTCAGGGATCAGCAGCAGAAGTTTTCTGGGTGCGCCTTCGAATCTCGCTCGTTGATCGAGAAACCAACCGAATCAGCAGCTCTAGGGTTCTTGTCCTCATGTACAACAAGCTCATGTGCATCAGCTGACAAATCCGGCGAGGTCGCGGCACTGTGAGGCTCTGCGAACATGAAAGATACATGAAGAAGGTCTCCACAGCATTTGCCTCGTGCAGTTTTCGATGACACACACACATTGGGATGGCAAGCACACTCGCACTCCCAGGGATCTGGCCCAAGAAGTTCTACAAGGCGTCAGAACTCGCTCTCTCGTCCGTCCTGTCTGCCTTTCTTTCGATGCGTTTCTCTCTCTCCCGCTTCGTGCCCTGTTGCTCCTCCTTCTCTCGTTCGTTCCTTTGCGCGTTCATTGTTTCTTTTTGTGTCAGTCTTCTCCTTCAGTGATTCACACAGACGAGCAAACGATCAAGCAAGCAAACAAGCAAGCAAGCAAGCCAGCATGTGTATACACGGCTACACATACGTACATACATACATACATACATACATATGTGCATGCATGCATGCATGCATACGTACATACGTACACACACATATATATATATATACACACACACACACACACATACACATGTATACACACTATACGATCATACGTGTATGCACATAGAAACAGGACAAACTCATACGTGTGCAGACACATCTTCACCGGCATGACAATGCATGCATGCATTGATATGTACATACATGCAACATAAAAATTACGAACATGCTTGCATAGTTTCTGTCTTGCTTGCTCACCGTCTTACGTACTTAGCCGCTTACTTACTTAGCCTACTTACATAATTACTTCTTTACTTACTTCTTGCATTATTTCCTTGCTTCCCTACACACTTAACTGTCTGTTTGCTTGCTCAGGTAAGACTGCTTGCTTTGTTGCTCCGTGCTTTTGTGTTTGCCTGCATCTAGGTTCTGTGAGTTCCATCTTTGTGCATGTATTCTTTGTGCGCTCTACATGCTGTCCCGCCTGCACGGCCTACGAAACCTACGAACAAGGCCAATACACACAGAGAAAAACATCACACCCAAAGCACGTCGTGTGTTTGCTCCGTGCGTGCGAGCGCCTCGGTCACTTACTTAACTTTCCGCCTGCATAGTCACGACGAGGACGTGCAGGGAGCAAAAGCAATCATGCCCCTTGCGCGCTTCGCGTTCGGAACCGTGCGCGAACACATCACTGACTCACTCACTCTCTTACTCACTGGCTCTTTCGCCTGCACTGTAGTACCGAGCGGAAGAAGAAAGCGATACCAGAAAAAGCAACTGATAAGTTGTGATTCCCTGAACATGCATTCGAAACGAACAGTCTACATGTAGATCGCACAGACACACACACAGAGAGAGACACCCCACACACACACACACACAGACAGATGTGTGTATATATATATATACATATATGTGCACGTTACTGGTACCTCGACCTATTGATATAAGACATGACATAATATGGTACGATGCGATATGGCATGACATGGTCTGACATGATGCGATAATGTCTGAAATGACCTAACCTGATATCACATACTGTATGACATGATGTGACATGGCATGGCACATCTATATTAATCGAAATCTATGTCTGTGTCTGCATATATATATGTAGACAGATTGACGGAGCGAATGCCTTCGGCAGACTTGCATGCTAAAGGCCTTGGGATCAGCCATCAGTTCCACGTTGCGGCGGATTTCGACCGAGGTCCTCGGATAGCATCGACAGTCTGAAGAGTCTATCTGGCTGTACAAATACGGCTGCGACAAGCCATCGGCATCAGCCGCTGTGTGACATGAGGAGCTCGGTCTTCCAGTCGTGCCTTGCACTCTCGATAATTCTGAAGTTGAAAGCGGGCTTGAGACTTCGAAGGCCATTGAATCTGAATCGGAGCATCGCACCTTGTCTACGACTTGGTCCACCTCGACAACCACAATTGCAGAGACGGCTTTTCTGAAGAGCATCCAGACCGCAGACCACCAAAAAGTCGCCCCCCCTTTCTCGAAAGACAAGGCGCTGGATCGATGGGTGGGGCGATGAGATGCTTGATCAGCTCCAGTCGGATGCCGTCCTTTTTTCGCGACCGGTACCAAAAATATGGAGATTCCCCCAAAAATACCCAAAACATCGCAAAGAGAACACCACAACTACACTCCCTCGAACCCGCAACTCTCTTGCAGACGTAATGGTAACGCTGCTGCACGCCAGAACTCACAGACACGTTCCTCGACATGCCTACTGCAGCAGAGACGTCACCAACTAGAACAAATTCATGGGTCCTCGACACCTTTTTCGCCGAGAGGGGGCTCCCAGTTCAGAATATTCGTGACCTGCTGTGGAAGCACAGAGCCATGAACCGGGCGGGCGAACCTCGGATGGCCGAGCATCACGGCCAGCTCCGCAGCAGCAGCAAACGTCGAGGCCTTGGGCCGTGGGCTGCGGCTGCAAATTCGACTTCTCCTCAGTCTTGCACAGGCCTCCTGGCAAGTTTGCAGCAGCCTGTAGACTGCCTGGCCATTGACATCCCCCCATGTGTGCTTCTTCATCCACTGTCAGGCGCACGCTGTTCGGAACTTGATCACAAGAACTGCATCGAGACGAACCCAAAATATCTAAACGAAGTTGCAATGAAAACATCCGGCACTGCATCTTCCCGTGAACGACTGGCTGTATGACTCAAGCTCAGAGTAGATAGGCAGTTAACTGAAATGCAGAAGAAACCGAAGTCAAGCGAGCCGGATGCAACATGGTAGGAGAAACGCTACAGCGGCACTCAATTCCTTTAATCTTGCCCAATGCCAGCCCGTCAGAGAATCACCATGTTCCGTGTTGGCTCATCCTCTTCATCGATTCTGCGTTCAGCCGAACACCAGAGCAGTGCTCTAATGTCAAGCCGACGAACCAGAAGAAGCAAGATACAGAATTGAAAATGTGATGCACAGAAACCAGATCATCCAACTCCCTTGCTGGTTCTGAGTGGCCTGAACAACCGAGCTTCAGCGACGACGCTTGTTTAAATCTTTTTTGCAACCTCTTCAATCGGCAACCAGTTCATCTTCCATGAATAGAAGGAAACTGCAGGGACTGAGGAGAAACAACAGCAATGACTGTCAGAACGTGAACAAACGGAAATGAGCACCCATCGAACAAGTATCCGCACGGAACAATTTGACAGACCCAGCCAAACAAGAAGATTCACAACCACTTAAGTGACTTTCTCTTGAGACAGTGCCGGAAAGCAGTGCCATCAAGTCAACTGCTCGCTGCTGCATGTAGTGAAGACAAACAGCTGCGAGAACATGACCTAAAGCTACAAGGATTGGTCATCGTTTTCGCTGCCCAACAACGCTACCCCGACGATGCCACATGCCTCCACTCGGCGTTCTCTTCCAGGTGGGGCCTCTGCGACACGGGGCCGAAACATCGGACGAGGCCAGAGCTTCGGAGCCCGGGCCGCCATGAGCATGTGCACCACACGGCGCCTATGGAGAAGAAGGGACCCAGGCTTCTCAAGGGGCCTTTTGCCTGGGCTCCGTGCAGGCCAGCGGTGACTGCGGGGTCGGCCAGGTTCCGGAGAGCGAAGACGGCGCTCCGGCGCTGCGCCTCCGCGCTCCGCGCGCGGCTCCGCGCTGCTAAAAGCGCTCTGCGCGGCGAAGGCTTCGCGGAATTCGCCGGCGCCTCGGAGCCGCCGGAGAGCAGCTCGCAGAGCACCTCCACACCTTGCCGGGCAGCCACCACCTGGACCAAAGGCGAGAGTGATTCTGCCAGAGCGGCTGCCAGCGGCATCGCAATGCGCATGTCGCATGTCTATACAAGCCTGTCGGGTGTCGAAGCTGGCACGCACAGCGACCGGCATGCTCAATGGATTTGGCAGTAGATCCACACCGCTTCGCCCAAGTTCCTCAGCTTGCAGAACAGCATGCGAAGCGTTGGGACTGTGCGGTGTCGACGGTGTCCAGGCATCCGGCAGACTCATCGAACTCTTCGTGAGTGCTCTTCCAGGCGATGAGCTCCTGCACCGCCCCAAAAACCGTTAGAACTTCTGCGATGTGTCCGCGGCTTCGGAGGCGTGGCCCCGCCTCGCGGCGCTTGTTGAAGAGCGCCTCGTTCGGCTCCAGGGACTTGAAGCCGAAGATGTTCACACCTCAGGAGGACTCGAAGAGCCCAAGCCTGCCCTGCAGAGCAACCTCCGAGGAGCCCACAGTAGATCCATGCGTGGGGTATCTCCCTGGTACCATCCCCGTTTCGCGATCATGCCCCAAGCTGAGAGCAGTGAGAAGACACGCAAGCAGGCCGGCCGGGCGCCCTATCAAACTCCCAGCCCGGGCAGCCGATGCAAAGGTCAGCCGTCCCGTAGGAGCACATCAGCCTGAGTTTTCGGTGTTTCGGACTTTCTGCACACTCTGGGACTCTGGGGGCTAGTCTGGATCTCGTTCGGAATCTCCTCTGCCCATGTGAGCTCGCCTACACCCATCGAGTGCGGCAAACGTGCGACGGCAGATGACACGACGAGGCTGCTACCGTTGACAGCGAGGCTCAGGACGAAGTGGTCCAAGCAGATGCAGAGGTGAGTCCACTTGAAGCCTACAGCTCGATGGCTTAGAGATGCTTAGTGCAAGCAATAAGTGCGCAAGACATAAGCTTCCGGCATTCCATGGGTTTCGTCTTGATCACGAACTGATAGGGTGCCGCATTGTGGGTGAACCTTGGCCGTGCCGAGGGCAGCAAGACTACACTTGTCGAAGCTTTCGCAATTCGCAATTTGCGCCTCAAGACGAGCGGGTGAAGACCTGGAACGCACGGGCACTCAGGGACGATCGAACGAAGCTGAACTCCGGAGCCTGCGCGGTTTCCCAATGTCCTTAACACAATCTGTGGATCCGTGCTACATTAGCGGCACTCCCAGCTAAACCTGAGTTGCAGGCTCTGAAGATGAGATTCCAACGGCCATCTGGATATCACTCGCCTGGATGTGGTATTCTGCAAGGTCCGAACCACACCCGAGCCCGGGTGCGATGCCGTGAAACCCTTGTAAACCATCCATGCCACCTGATGCTTGAACAGAGGCAGTGCGTTCTCCTCAGGCCAGCCAACGTGCCTTTCCCGGACTGTTGAATTCTTCGTTAAGGTAGGTGTGGAAGCTGAGACCTGCGGTGCGGCTCACTATACGCCCAAGAGCTTCCTCTCGTAACTGTGAAGCTCGGACTCCAAGAAGTGCTGCCGCGGGCAAACTCGCACTCGGTGAAGAGGACTTCCGAGTCGGGCCTGCCACAAGCAGACAAAAGGCCTCTCGGAAGCGTTGGAAAAGTTTGAGCAGAAGAAGACCCTTCGAAACAGCTTCGGAGGCTCCGGCAGGTTTGGAAGGCTTCGCGCGAAGGAGAATCGCTTCTCCGGATAAAGACACCCGAAGTGGCGGACTGAAGCTTGGGGTGCCTTGAAGAGAGATACCTTCACGCCGAGTATCGCCGAGTAGCTTCAAGACAAGACGGGGAGTTGCAGAGGGAGCTTCGTTGGTTGACCGCCAAATGCGTGCAGACTTCTGACCTGATGCCCCAAGTCTCTTTGACAGGCGGGGAAGGCCTCAGGAGCAGAAGTGTGTTGGGCAAGGTCCACGTAGCCTAAGCTGGTCATGCCACAGCATGAGGTTGACAGTGGCAGCAGGCATTGCAGACACGGCGCGGGAGTGCAAGAGAAGTTCGTCAAGGTCTTGATGATGTACCCGCGATCGTGGCAGGTGACCTTTTCAGATTGACGATTCTCTGCCGAAGCACGCATGGCAGTGCGATTTCGGCCTCATGCGGATCCACCACAGATCCTGGGGTGTAACCAACTCCGATGCTGTTTGCGGACTCCTGCGAGGCAGGAGGTCTCGTTTTGTCCGAGCTGCCCTGCCTAAGCCATCGCAGAGTCCTCCGCCGCGAGATCAACAACCTTCTCGACAGCCTTTTATCATGCTGGCAAGCATGCAGACGGAAAACCGACGGCCCACCTGCTGGTAATGCACGAAATTGCTGCGGCCCTGTTCGGAAAGGGACAGCCTCGCGCATCCAATGTGCAAAGGGACGCTTCTACTTTGTGAATCTCAGATGTGAGAGCCAGGCCCGTAGTAGAACCTGGAAGCTGCCACGTGCTCGTCCGTCCTGGCATGCGCGGTGATCTCTTTGGGAAACAAATCTTGGCAGACTTGCTACTGGTAGGAAGCATGCGGGTGGGGCATTGACATGCGCTTCGCGGGATCTCGGAGCTCAGCGACGGATGGCCGGCTCAAGAGCACCTCTCGTCAATCTCCCGCGTGCGCAATGCACAATGCAGCTTAGCTGTAAGGCCACGGCATTGTACATGAGGGTGAAGATCTCTGCCTCCGAAGTGATGGCTGCGTGCGGCTCATCCTGGAGGGAAATCTGCAGCCGCGGGCAGCACTTGCAGTCACTTGCACTTGCACCTCCCCGAGGTGTGCCAGGTAAGAAAGCAGCATCAGCACAGCGCTGTCGATCTCCTCCTGCAGCGCCTGTGAGACCGCGAGGTGCGCCGCAAGAGCAGGAGTCGCACTGTCAACCAACGAAAACCCCGGTTGTTCACACTTCAAGCCGGGCACCTTGTCAGCACCCACTAGGCCACCATCCAGGGTCCTCATGCCGGGAACCGAGAACTGTGGTCCATGGCCAAAGCATTTCCCAGGCAGCTGCTTGGAGTGCAGCTTCACAATTTGATGCACGAGGAGCTGCTGATCCATCACCTCAATAAGGCAAACAGCACATGACTCGGACTCTTCGGAGCCGAAACTCTCAGATCGAGGCCAGCTGACGCTTCTCCTTCACCTCTTCCAGAGTTGTGGCTTCGAAGCACGGGAGGACCTGACGCTGCAACCATACGGAAGAACACGACCGTGTTCTCCCCAACGAGCACCAAGCATACAAGCGATAGCCGAGGTTCTCATCAGTGATTGCCTGCACTCGCTGTGGCCACGTGCAGGGAAGCTTCTCTGGTCATAATCTGCCTCCGTGGTCTTCTGCAGGGCTTCCCTTAGTAGTGCCAGGTGAAGGGCCGCTGATTTGTAGGTAGGGGCAGGGGCATCTCCAGGGCGTGCCGGAAGCCCCCCAACTCACACTGCTGTCATGCTCCGCGCACCTAAACCGTTGAAGCCTGAAACGGGGCTCTGGCATGCTACCACCCGTTCCCAGCTGCACAGCCTTGGCTTCAAAGGTCGATCGTTAGGGCTCCGAGCGATCGAAGCTCCGTGCAACCGGGCTGCTTCCTTGTCAGCTGACACCTTGTCCAAATCGTAGATAAACCTCGCCACAACCAAGAGCAACACCAGAATTGAGAAATTTGTGCAGGTTCCAGCAATTCAGATGGAAGCTGCCACTCGAAGCTGTCACCGGAAAGCTCAATGTAGGTAGGTGTGGAGGAGCCAACCTAATGCAGCACGCACCACCAGCTCACATGCCCCCCCCCGTGTACTGGGGGACGCCTTCATCTGCATAGCCTTGTTGAACAATGCTGCAAGCTCACCTGCGAGGCTTTCACAGGACAAGAAGTGGTGAGGCGGGCTGGCCGGTCCCTTTGCCTTCCACGAAGATCTTGACAGCACCTCGCCCAATCGGAATGGGATCCAGTTCGACCTTGGTCTTTCGGTGCTTCAACAATCGCCAGCAGTTGAAGATGCTCAGCTGCGAGAATGCATGACTGAACGACAACTGCTGGGACCTCTTTGCTAGTTTCAGCTCCATGTCGACTGAAGTGCAGAAGAATCCCTGAGCCGTCGACACTGAGGGTGGTGGCCATTGGAATATGACAGCGAAACACTCTCGCTGTCGGATGGCGCCTGACAGATCGTACTCTGAACACGGCACGGAAGCCTTCGAGCTAATCATCTAAGCATAGAAACTCTTTAGATCCTCTATCTATCTATCTGGCTATCTATCTATCTATATACCTAGCTAGCTAGCCATCTACAGTATCCGTCTATCTTTCAACACATAAATGTCGGTGTACGCTGGCATGTGCAAGCGAGTCTGCACATGTGTAGTATCTCTGCCTGCATAGGCTCTGCATGATCCTTGTCCGAGTCCCGGGCTGCTAAATCCCCAACCCAGGTATCCCGCCCCTGCCCCCCAATCCCCCCTTTCCCGGCTTGCATGTAAACAAGCAGCTCAGTAGACGTGATACAGAGACATGGACGGTTGAATTTGCGCTCACATGTCACACGTCAGATCACAAAGGGCCCAGCATGAGCTCGGACGAGGTGTGCTGGGACTCCACAAAGCCTTGCACCAGGAGGGGGTTCTCTCTCGAAAGGGACTGAAAAAGGCTCCGTGAAGACTCTGATTTCTCGGATGCATCCAAACCACGGGTCGGACAGTCTTCAAAGGCCACCATTCTGATCCTAGGAAGTGGGCGCGCAATCCATCGCCAAGCTGTCACATGCCCACCAAGAGCCGCGCAGTGTGCGCAGGATGTTGCGGACCAGGGCCGGGTCTTGAGTCTCCAAGCTCGTGGGCACCCCGGCACCCTGCAGGCTCATGGCGAGGGCCTGGGCCAATGGGGCAATGGCAAATTTGCGGCTGTGCCCCTCCACCCGTCCTCTGAGAACTTCGAAAGGTTGGACCGCACCTCTGTGCCGTCGCATGTGGGAGGGAAGCGCAAGTACATGGGTGGGGCCGGAGCAATATTCACGGCGCCAGACAATGCTGTGATGATGACCTGCGGCAGCATCAGTCGCTTAGAAAGAAGGGTTGGGGTTGGGGCAGGGTCTGGAGGCGCCTGCTTGTCCTCTGCAGCCTGAGAGCCGATTGCGACTACCTGGTAGCACTGGCAGGGCCTCTGAATTCCACGGCGAGCAAAAATCAATCACTTCTGATTCTGGCCTGCTTTGACTCCTGGCCTGGTTGCAGCTTCTTCGGCTTGCAATACGGCTGTACAGCAAAAGAAACTGATGCGCACCATGCACCAGGCCTTCCCCAGGAAGCTTTGCAGCCAATCCCTAAGAGGAGGGTTCAGATGTGTAGATGGTTTTGCCTTGCTCCCTCATCTCCTTTGCCTCCTTGACCGCTGCCAGCTTGTCCACGGTCTGCGACAGCGTCTCCATCAGATCTGGAGCATCTTTGGCGGACAGGAGGCTGCCTAAGAACTTGAAAAGCTGCCCTTGGCCATCGGCCGGTAGATCAGCAGTCGCCCTCGCACTGGGGTCTTGGCTCCTGAGCCGCATCGTCCGGAAAAGAGCCAGAGCAGCAGCTCGCCTTGCAGACAAAGTCCGAGGGCTTACACTCTGCGAAATGGACTTGTGTGACCACTTCCAGCCCAAGCAACCCGGCTTGGGGGATCTGGGCTCGGATGACACATTCTTCCCCATTATTCCGAATTAAACCTTTGCTCGGATTGATGGGCCCGGAGAGTTCAATTCCTTGCCGCAGCCACGGGAAGGACCGTTCCGGACTTGCTCGCTCACTCGCTCACTCACGAGCAGTCACTCGGCCCGCATACCTCCGAACATGCAGGCCTTGCCTTGTTGACCAGGTTGCTAAGCGCTGGCTGGTTCTCATGATTTTGGCAGAGACCTCAAGCTCTGACTGCCAGGCTCTGAATCGGGTTTGTTGCAGGATCCCTGCAGCGCAGCTTGGACTGTTGAAACGGCTCAGGACACGCCAGGCTCCTCGCCGAGCTTGAAAGCGAAATTGTCTCGGCGTCATCCTATGCAGGGCTAGTTGCTAGCTTGCACTGCTACAGTCAAACGGCCGCACAAGGAAGGCCCAACAAAGAGCAGCACATCGATGCCGCCATGACTCCAGCTTCGGCGGATCGCAGACTTCACGTACCAGAAGAGCCTGCCGGAAGCCGAGCTGGCACATGACCACTTCAAGATTCCTCCACAATGTCAAAGCTGCAAGTCATTGAGATGCGGGCAACATAGCCCTCACGCACCATCTGATCCTTGTGAGCTCGGCACCAACTTTTCAGAAGACACGGCTCTTCTCGGATTTCAGTTGAGAGCCCGTTGTTACCACGACAGAAACAAAGACTCCGCACCATAACAAGAAATATTGGCACCACGACAGAAAAACAACTTCACCATGACAGCGCATTGAAATTCTCACCACGACAAGGCATCAAAGCCTCACCACGACAAGGCATGAAAACCTCACCACGACAAGACATCAGCAGCAGCAGCAGCAGCAGCAGCAACAAAGCTGGACATATCATCAGCATCAGCACATGTCAGCACCACGACAAGGCATGAAAAACCTGACCACGATGAGGCGTGAAAGCCTCACCACGTTCAGGCATCAGCAGCAGCAGCAGCAGCAGCAGCACGACACATCAGCAGCATCAGCACATACCAGCATCAGCACATGGCAAAACAGTGATTCCCACGTGTGCCCCCCCCCCCTCTCCACCGCCACTCGCGGGAGAATCACCATGTTGGAGGATTTATTGGCAGAATGGTGATTCGCACACGTGACCCCCCCCTCCCTCTCCACCGCCACGCGTGGGAATCACCAAGTTGGAGGATTTATAGCCTCTGAAGAAAACAAAATACTGAGTGATTCCAGCACGTGTCCCCCCCCTCCTCCACCGCCACACGCGGGGGAATCACCATTTTGGAGGATTTACCCTCTGAAACTTCCAAGACATAGTGGTGATTCCCACGCGTCCCCACTCCCCTCCCCCGCGACACGCAGGGGAATCACCACTTTGGATTCCCGTGCGTCCCCCCCTCTCCCCCGCGTGTGGCGCGGGAATCACCATTTTGGAAGATTATAGAGGCTCTCAAAATTGCAAACGGGTGATTCCCGCGCGTGGCTCCCCCCCCTCCTCCCCACCGCCACACTCGCGGCATTTTGGACAGTTTAGGCTCTGGAAATGGCAAAATCACGGTGATTCCGCACGTTCCTGTTTTGCCATTTTCAGAGATGCACCTAAATCCTCCAAAATGGTGATTCCCCCGCGTGTGGCGGTGGAGAGGGGCGGGGACGTGTGGGAATCACCGTTTTGCCATTTTCAGAGCCTAAAGCCTCCAAAATGGGCGGGGACGCGTGGGAATCACCATTTTGCCATTTTTCAGAGCCCAAATCCTTCAAAATGGTGATTCCCCCGCGTGTGGCGGGGGGGAGGGGGGGGGCGGCATGATTGAATTGCATGTGTCAAGCTTACACTTCTGTCCTGATGCTAATCTTGTCGGAATGAGAACTGATGCAAAGCTTCTCGGAATGAGAACTCCACTCCACATCAGCACATACTGCTAGGGTTGAGCCTAAACCCTTGTCAGGGTAAGAAATTAGCTTGTCGTTGTGGTTTGAAATCTTGTCAGTGTGTCTTTGAACCCTGTCGTGGTAAGGACCTACCCTGAGTTTCCCACAGAAGATATTACAAGCCTGAGGTCAAGACGTAGGTGTGAGGATACCGCAGCAGAATTTGGACAACCTCAGCATTGTACGCAACTGCAAAACATGACTCAGAACTTCTGACCACACACATTGCATCTTTGGCAGAAGCTCACGCAGGCTGCTTCATGCTCGGTGATGCGCTGACGTGGAATTAGGAAGGCAGAAAACTGCTTTGTACACATGCCTTCGAAAAAGTGTCGGTGGCTATGCCATCCACACATCTCCACAGCTTTCGGCTCTGCCCGGTCTTTCACTTTGAAACTGCCTGCTACGCAGCATAACAACGACTGCTCTGTAGCCAGCCACACCGACTGGTTGTGCAGTGTCTCAGGTTGTTTAGGTACATATATACATATATATATATATATCTGTGCACATATACATTTATATTCCTACCAAGCTAAGCAGCCGCACATGCAGAAACATGTATCAACTTACAGTCATTGCCTTCTTAACGCGCTGCATTGCTGGGCACCAGCAGCGGGAGCAAGCAGCTGCACAGCTGAATCCACAGTGAAAGCTCAGTTCCTCGGATGCAGGCCGCACCCCCGTATGAACCTTCAAAATACAGGCTTGGCATTCCCAGCGTCTAGTACGATCGGGCACCGAATCAGCAGCTCTCGAAATGCTGCCGGTTGCTGAAACTCCTGCCAGCACGAACAGAATCCTCACAACATGCGTGAGGCTCTCTGCCCAGCTCACCGTGAGGAGCCTCTGGTGCCGTTGCCAAGGAGTCGGCATAGGATGCTGCAGGGTTCCGCAGTGATGCCTTTGGGCTGCCTTGAACCACTGCCCTCAACTCCGTCGGATTCCTTGGTGCAGGCACAAGTCTTGAACCCTCTCTCTCACTCCTACCAGCTCACCCGAGCGTCGCAGCATATCACTTCATGCCAAGTATCAAGTTCAAGGGCTGGGATGCAAGCCACTTGAGAGACTCTGCGACTTCTAGCGGTCGCGGCACGTCTGGCTTCAGATATTGTGCTCTGTTCACTGCCAACCAGGTCGACCATCCGAAACCCTTTGCCTGGCAGCTCACTCATCTCTTGCGAGCTTAGAAGAACTGTCCGGAAGCTACTGCAACCCAACTTCGGCAAGCTGCAAGAAGCGTCTCTGCGTCCTCGAGCTCCTCGTGCAAAGGGCAGCGCTTCGAGGCTGTCACAAAGCTCTTGCATATCGACGCATGATCCAGAACCACGTTTAGAGTTTGGAGCTGGCAGCCACACGCAGATTTTCACATACCTGCATACATCATACATACATACATACATACATACATACATACATACATACATACATACACAGACATTCATACATACATGCATACACGCATGTGTGTGTATGTAATTATGTACGCATGCATGTCTGTATGTATGTAAGTATGTAAGCAAGTAAGTAAGTATGTCCGTATGTATGTGTGTATGTATTCAACTGTATCCATGTATGTATGTTAAGTATGTATGCATGCATGCGGAGGTTTGGAGGCTCCCCTGCTCCCGACCCACTTCAGATACACATTTTGCCACACATGAGCCGGAGCAGTCCAAGCCACGCAGGGCACCCGTGCATTGCCCTTAACAACTGATTTATCAGACCAAACGGCTCTGAAACTGCTTGCAGACCTGAAGCCTAGTTCATAAACGACAACTCCGGCAAGCTTCGGAAGAGCTAGCGTTCGTGACTGCCACTACGACGGCAGCTAACACGAGTACCAACCTTAACACTTCACTAGCTTCTGCTTCTATAAACTGCCTTACGCACTTCTATGGTGATTAATCTGCAGACTGTCAAAACAAATTTCTGAAAGCTCTGAGTTTTGAAAGAGTGCGTTTCGGATCCGTTCGGAGCCATCCGGCAAAGTGCGTCTGAGATCCGTTTGGGTGCCTGCAGGGTCCGTTTAGAGTCCTGGTGGGGTCCGTTTTGGATCCGCCCGGGTTTGTCAATTTGTTGTGGATGCGTTTGGCGATGGCGCGACCCTCGCGGCACGAAATCGGATCCAGAACAGACCCTCCCACAGCAACACAATCCTGTGTGCCTTCAATCCGTTTTGGGGTCCGTTGGGGTCCGGATCCCACATACCCCAAAACGAATTTAACACAGAGAGAATATGCACACATCACGGATCGCAAGCGCAACAGCAAACAGACTTCCATTCCAAACGGACTGCAAACGGACTACTCGACCGAATCAAAAGAGCTGCTTTTGAATTGCGGAACTTCCCAATAGTAGCAGGACAAGATGTTCACAACCCTATACTGTCTACTAATTGCTACCTTCGCCGACTCGCTGCTACCTCCTGCCTCCCACTTCGACTAGCGACCACCTACTACCTGCTGCCTGCTTCTTGCTTCTGGCTACCTACTGCTACAAAGAATCAAGGCCAGCCACAGCTGGGCCTCGACACCGACTCTGGTTCATCGTCCCCGAGGCTGTCGTCCCCGCTCTTTCGCTTGCACGATATTGCGAAGGGAAGCCCCAACTAACAACCCTTTTGAATTGAAAGAAGCCCCTCCATGTCGCAGGCAGCCGCAAGGGAAGATGCCGAGCTCATCCTTGCAAGTCATGTCGAGCAGGCTTGCAACATTTTCCGCGTCCTTATGCAAGTATGCATAGTAACAATGAAACAAGAGTAACGCCTTGCTGAGTCCTAAGTCACGCTATGATCTTGTCTTCAACTTGATGTGTGTTAACGCTGATTCGATATTGCTGCTGACATGCAGGGGCTGGTCTGGTGATGCTGATGATGGTGGTGGTGATGGTGATGGTGGTGATGATGATGATGACGAGGATTCTCAGCTCCGTATACGCGGAGTATCATGGGATGTCAGACTTTCTGCATTTGCTTGCCTGGGCCATAAATCCCTCGCTCCCAGACCAGTGCCTGCCACTCAAGCTACTCTGGCCTCGCCCTCTGTCCCACCGAATGGCAAGCATGGAAACCTCTTCCTGTGCCAATGACCTAGCCAAACTGTATGGTCTACCCGACGAGGGGCCATTCGTCCAGGCAGCCCATCTCACCAGCTGCTTCCCGGATCGCAGGCAGGATGGACTGCGTGGCTGGCAGAGTTGAAGTGCCTCGGTCAAGGTCTACATACTACATGTAGCAGCCACTTCAGCAAGCTGCGAGATGCCAGAGAGCCTGCAGCCGCATTCAATCTGCTCTTCTGGAATCGAGGTCTTTCTGCAGATTGCCAGCCCGGGCTGCTAAAGAGAAGGCCTTCTCGCCTAGGCTGCAACACACCAAGAGACCAAGGCCATCAGCGTAAATAATACTATTGTGCAAATGCGAATTCTAAACTTTCGCATATCCTTGACAAGCTGCCTTGGAAAAGCGAGCAGCCCCCAAACAAGGAGAGCTGCAAGCAAGTTGGAGTTCCGCATATGTGTCATGTCCGGACAACGTTGTGAATATAATGCAAGATCCAGTGGGGCTTGCTCTTAGTAAAGAAACCCTTGACTAATGACTTCGGATCACAGCATTCTCGTAGAACTGGCGGCTCGCGTAGGCATGTCTGTTTCAAGCAAGCACGACAGAAACACTTGTTCTAACATGTGGTACCTGGCTCGAGCCTAACGACTGAGGAACAGGTGCCATACCATAAGCGAGTGAATCTTGTCTGCCGACACTTCTTTGGCAAGCCCCAGCCACTCTGCCTCCACGGACATGCACTGTGCTATGCCGGCCGAATTCGGTTCACAAGCAGGCCCCTCGCTTGCATAGCCACCTGCTTCTGCTCGAGAGCTTGGGTCACCTCTTGCATCCGGGCAGGCTGCAAGGTCATTGCAGTTCTCAGACTGCCACCTCATTTCGGCTGCCATGTAGCTGCAGAGCACCTCAGCTTATGGAATGCGACACAGTCAGCTTCATCAGGTTTGTTGGGTCGGAGAAGGCGAATGAGCTAAGCTACAAGCAAATCGACTGCACCGCTTTACCCAAGTCTCCACCTTGGCAAGGGCAGCTTAGCTTCTTGTGGCCTTGCATCCCCGTCTGTAGCCTGATTTGCCAATCAGCTTCCATAGTTCGTCGGCCGCACTTAGCGAAGCCTGCACCCGCCCAGACACATTCTCTTGCAACGCAGAATGATGCAAAGCATGACGCCCGCGCCAGCAGCAACATGTCTCCAGGAAAGCCACAAAGGCCAGTACTCCGCTCCACCATGCATCCCGCGGTGGCAGTCTCACAGTCGTTAAATCGTTTCCATCTTCAAAGTCTCTTCAAAGATTCTGTGCAAGATGCCTCGACAACTTGGCGTGAAAGCTCTAGCTTTGGCTGCCTGGCAAAGGGCGATTGCATGTCATGAGCTGCATGGGAAAAAGTCAAAGCCAGGGCTGCGCAAGTCTTCCCAGAACTCGCCGACGAGCCCGATCATTTGCAGGATGCTCGAAAGGAATAGCTTCTGACTCAGCCATCTCCGCATAGCAGGCATAGACCTTTGCTACACTTCTCCGGCTTGCCACTCGAGTCGGAGGGCGCCACAACCGCACTCTTTTGGATCCCTGCAGAGGTGCGATCGCTCGGAGTGGGAGCTTGAAGATGTGACCTGCATCATGCCGAAGTTGCCGAAGGTTTCGAAGCAGCTCGAGGGAAAAACAGTGCCCGCTGCAGCGTACTCGAAGCTTGGCCACACGAGCATCGGGAAGTCGAACTTTGAGAAGCGGTCCTCGGGTTCGCCACGACGGCTGAAAGATTGAACTGCCAACACCACATAGGCCACTCTAGACATCTGCACTCCGGAGCTCCTGCGGCTTCCCCGGCAGTTGGTACTGGAGCTGGCCGTACCTGCACAACACGTGGCACGCGTGTAGACGCGTGTCATCTCCTTGTTCTTGCCTCCTTCTGAAGCCCTAAATCCGCAACCGGACGGAGCAGAGGCCCTGGCTGCGCCACTGCTGAGTCCGGCACGAGCATTGCGTGAAAAGGGCCGGCAAAGAGGAAAAGTGCTGACCTCAGCAGCACCACTCGAGCCGCGCTTCACCCCTGCAAGCAATCTCCTGTCTGCCAGTACACCGTTCGTAGACCGCGCATAGTGCTTCATATATTGCTTCATCGTGTTTCGACTTATAAAAACACCTTTGCGTTCTGCCGACCCCGGCAAGCTGGCCCGAAGGGTCGCTTCGGCCTTCTTTTCCGGGGTCGCTTCAGGGGTCGTCAGTCCTGTCTTTCCTTTTTTATACGCAAGTCAAAAAACAAACAAAGCCTAAGATTTGTATTGATGTGTTCATTGAAAATGCTGGACTGCCAGAAGACTCCAGCGACCCAGAAATGAAGACCCAGGTGACCCCAGCATACGCAAGCTGTGGGCCTGCGCCAGTGAAATGCTTTCCCACCCTCTTCCCCCTTGAAGAAACCGCTCTACTAACCCTTAAAGGGACCCTCATAGATCCCTATATCCTAAACTCTAAACCCCCACTCGCCTTCTGTGGACACACGCCGGTGGTCCATTCAACATGCGCAAAGTGTGTCGCCCTTGATTCGGAAGTGCGCTGGCCCTGTTGAGCACATGATGTAGGCCGTAGTCATGGTGACCGTCACAGGGCCAGCTTGTGCCAAAACCCTACAACAACCTGGTAAGCTGATCTTGATCTGGGGCTACGGCCAGGGGATCCCACGAACACCGCACATCGAAGTTTACGTCGATGTTGCAGACGAAGAATTCGGGCATCAATGATCTCCAGACAAGAAACAGTAGATTCGATAAGCTGATGAACATCCAAAGATTTGGACAAGTGCATGCTGCGACTCCCACCGTGTCATTGATGAACACGGATACCCAACCTTGTGCAACGAGCTGGATGCTTGCATGCTTGAGCTTACAGCACTTCTCTTGTACTCCTACGCTGTTCATTGAGAGGCTCGCAGATTCTCGTCTGAAGCTCCATGACCACCTGATGTCCAGAACCAAGGAAGCTTGTCACCGAGCTTAGACTGTCCGGGTGGTCCAGGATTTCTGACATCGTGGGCACGCCTGCAAAGTGACTGCACTCCCGCGTCGGCGAAGAGCTGCTTTCGCCATAGCCTTCTTCTTGTCGACCTGCTGCACAGCTTTAACGACATTCAATTGATGCATCGCCTGTTGCAGCCAGCCATCTAGGGTTTGTGTGCAGACTGAGCCACTGAAGGGCGACCCAGGGGGACTTGAGTTTTTATGCAGGCATGAGACAAGGGGAGGCGTGTACACGGCCTGGACATGCCCTTCTGCGCACCAAACAGACAGATGACACACGCACAAAGCAAATCCCAGATTCCACAACATGACACATCTCTCACAGCAACCATCCATTTCTGTGAAAGGTGAAGCAGAAGTCCTTAAGAGCCCGTTGCCCGGGTGCGTGCCCCCATGCCTGGCCAGCTTGGGTGGTGTGGGGGAAAATTGACCAGTTCATAAGGTCATCAGCAGGTTATGAGCCCAAAGGCCTAAGCATGTTGGCAATGCATGTGACAAAGCTTTGCGCTTCATTGTGCAACTTCTCTTATGGCAACCCGCTGTGCTGTCTTGTGCGCCGAGGGTAAGTCGGCCGGCTTGCCATAAAGAAGCCAGTAGTTTGAGACACGCAGTTGGATAAGCGACGGCACTGGCGTTTCGGGAAAGCCACGACGGCACCAGCAGAGGAATGAGCTGGAGGGGAGCTGCGACGGCCCTGACGCCAGAAGGGGACTGCGCGCCGGCTTTGGAAGACGAGGGAGCCGCGTGCAAAAGTCGTTCTCGAGTTGCTGAGCAAGTCATCCTTGGCGTGTTGTCGCGCACGGGCGCGCCCGACCTCCGTTGAAGCTCGAAACCTCGGCCACCGCCAGGTGGAAAGCTGAATCGGGAGAGGGTGTGCGTAGCCGGCCCAACACCGGGGATTCGATGGACAAGGGTATTGCAGCAGAGACAATGGTTGTCTCCCACAAGAACCTGCAAGCTGCTCAGGTCTGGGGGAGCCCAAAAGAAAGGCGACCTTGGCCAAGAAGTGCACCCTGCAGCCGGTAAGCGGTCAGCAGGCTGGGGCGAGTGCGGACACGTACCACTTCCTGGCAGGAGGGATTGGGGGGAACTAACCCGTCCCGAGCCACAACGGGGCGGGGGGCGGGGGGAATAGCCAGGCATATGGCAGAGGCTTATACAGCAGACAAACTATGCCCCATACACATGGACCATTCCCGATTTACTACAAAGGAGGGGGAGAGCCGAACCACAGATATTTGAGGTCCCATCGCTTTACTGTGCAAGTTCGGCGAAAGGTTACATAATGTGGCATCGCTGTACTCTTGTGACATCCTGTGGTGAAGTACTTGATCGTCATAGTTATATTGGTCATAGTAGCAATCGCAGCCATAGTAGCCAGAGCAACAGTAACACTGATTCCGTCAGATTGTGCAGTGGCTTACAGCACGATCTGGTGGGTATCGACGGTATCGATTGGGTATCGATAAGGGTATCGACTGGAGTATCGATGGCCTAGCCACATACATATCACACGGAAACGTACGCAGAAATGCGGTTGATTTTTTTGCTCTTGTTGGGGGGTGCATTTCTGGCTTTGGGAGCGTATTGGCCAAATCCGGCATTCCATTGTCACCCTACTCGGAAGCACCTTTGCGGGAGGCTCATATGACTTGCGTGTGTGTATCGTTTCTGAATCAACAAACATACAAGGCCTCGATCGACCCACCACAAGACTTGCCAAAGATGGGGCAAGCTCATATTAAATATGAGAAGTGACTGACATCACATACTGCTCGGCACCCAGCTACATGGTCCAGGCGGCCATCCGGACTTTGCTGCATCAGTCGCGGGTCCGCAGTTGCCTCCCCAAAAGGAATACGCAAACATCATCTACAGTCAGCGCCATTCTCTGCAATAAAGGGAACAGAGCAGTTTAGGTAGAGAGTCTGCCATCCCGATCTGTTCCAGTGCAGGGGCCATCACGGCCATGCATGCGGGTAGGTCGAATACGTCCCGATGGCATGCAGTTGACACCCCCTGGCCAGGACTGCCAAGCAAAGGCCTCCAGATCGAAACAGTTGAAGCGGTAGAAATCTCCTCCTGCTTCATCGAGCAGTCCCACCCATGACCTCGCCATTTGCAATGCAACCCTTGTGGATGGTGACGCGCAAGGACTTGCTTCAAGGACGGGGATGCGGCTGCTCGCGCTTTGTCTGGCCGTTCACATCCGAGGAGTGGTGGATCACCTTGGCGCGAGGAATTGTATCCCGAAATATGCGGAACCAAGCTGAACATGTCCCAGCATGCTGAGGGCATCGACCCAAGAGAACTGCTGCGACCTTGGTCGGGATGCTTCTGTCGGGGTTTGTGGATTGCCATGAAACGGCACGACACGAGGCTGCCACGCATGCTGCTCGTAACAGGGCCGCCAACATGCCCAGCATCCTTGGCCTTCAATCGCTTCTGCCGCAGTAAATTCATGCCGCTGCTCTTTTCTCCATCGGGCCTGCTGGCACACCCGCCTGCCAGGCATGCTGAAAGGAACAAATACCAGGTCACACGAATCCCTTGTGCGCCGCTTGCCTTCGCAGCAGCATCTGGCACAGATGCGCGAATTTGGACAGACGCGAACTTCTCCGCAGCGACCTGCAGAAAGAAGGAAGACGTGGTCATGGTCAGCTTTCCCAGTTTCATGGCACAGGGCACAGATGAATTGCAGACTCCTGAGAAAGCGTCCCTGGCCGTGTAGGACGGAGGCTTTGGCTTCGCCTTGCCAGCCTCGCTGCAAGAAGCTCATTTCGAGTGCTTCCCAAACCAGGCGACGGGTCACAACCGGCCCCGGCCGCCTCCGAAGCTTCGGCTGCTGCACGCGCTGCAACGTCTTGCGACTGAACAAGTCCTGCATGCCGAGACACAGCCGGTCACAGTCACAGGGCATCTTAGGCGGAGTGCCTAGACGCAAGGATGGATGAGGCGCCACATACCGAGGTGCATGATGCACAGAACAAAGCATAGCACCAGTGTAGTCCGAGGTGACCTCAGCAGTTTTCTTTTTGGCAGCCGATATCCCTCTGCGAAAAGCTCTGTGGCCCTGGCAGAAAGCCTGGCACGCACCGCTGGAAACATCGTGAAGTTCCTCCCGCTGACCTTCGTTCCAGGCCTGGCGAGTTGAAAGGACCAGTGCTGAGAAATACACCTGAAGCCGTTCTGAGGTCCAGGCAGCCGATCTTTCCTTGTTAAGTTGGTGCAGGTGTAACATCTAAGCCACTTTCAGCGTTCCTGCGCTCTAGGGGAAAGTGAAGGCCAACTCATGGCCAGTTTCGGTATCAGGTCCAGTACGTAGCCCTTGTCTTCGTGGATGCAAGCCGCCACGGTCATCTTGCAGGGAGCGAGATGTTTTGGCCAAGCTGCGGCAACAAGGGAGCAAGAAAGCAGGCAGGCAGCGCCGTGTACACATTGTCCCCTGAAGACAGGATGGGATCTGGAGCATCTGCGTCTGCGTACCTTCCAATCGGGCACTTCCGGGAATGGCTGAGAGCCGTACGCATCGCTCGCCTGGACACGACCTTCTCGACGCCTGGGGAGGACTTCCATGCCTGAGCGGCGACTGTGCCAATTGATTTGTTATGCTTGTGATGTACTGGCGAGTAACCTCGTCATGCCACGTTGATCAGTATGCTGCTCGTTGTTTCTGTCAGTATTACGAGACTACGCAGTGAATTGGCCACTGCTAATGCTGTACTCATAACACGGTTGTTGAGACGACTACCGTTAAGGCCATTGCCAACATGAGTGGGCTTTCAACTGATGCGACATCCCATTCTCGAAGTCCACCCTGAATCAAAGAAGCGATGCTGTTAATTCCAGACGTGACCGCGCAGGAGAGCCCTCGTGGCGCAAGGCTCGTGCTTGCTAGCACCAGCTCTCGGAGCCTCTCAAGGAGCCCCTGACCCTGTGCAGTCTGTGACACCCGACGTGCACACGTCGTCGGTGCTAGTGCAGTGCGCGGGGAAACCAGAACCGCTGACTGACTTCTGCCACTTGGCCACTTGCACCACTTGAACCTCCCAAGCTATCGCCCCCACTTGTGCCACTCGACCTCGCCATTTCACGCCACTTGTGGCACTTGTGCCACTTGCAGTCTGTGAGGCCTTCAGTAGTACTATTAGCAGTACTAGTCAATAATGCGACAAGCAGTACGAGTAACAGCGCAATTGTACCCCAAACCTTAAACCCTACACCCTAAGCCCCTAACACCCTAAACCCTAAACCTGAAAAACCTAAACCCCTAGAGCCCTAAACCCTAAAACCCGAAACCCAAACCGTGGCAGTAGCAGTAGCAGTAGTGGCAGCAGATGCATAGTACTAGTACTAGCACTTGCCCTAGTAGCAGTAGTTGTAGTAGAAGCACTAAATCCCAAGCCACCCTAAACCCTAAAAACCTTCAACCCTAACCCCAGAGCCCTAAACCCTAAAACACGAAACCCTAAACCCCAAACCGTGGCAGTAGCTGTAGCAGTACTTGCAATAGTTGAGTCGGGCTAGTAGTAGCCTCAGCACTTCTATAGCTAGTCAACCTTGTTGGTCTTTTGGTTGTGGCGGAAACGGCAACTTTGCTTCTGCTTGTTTGCACCAGTGGCTACGCCCAACTGCTATGGCTCAAGTAAATAATGTGTTTGCTACTGTGCTCCCTGCTCTTAATGTACATCATTTGTTATCTCGTGATAACTTAGTTTAATCAAGCCTGTCATCACGACAATTACCTCGATTCTCTTAGATTTCTGCTACTGCGACCGTTACTACGGTGACACTCTTGTGGGAGTGATGTTCAAAGGCACGAAGCCAACTAATCATCGAAACATGTCATCACGACAATCACGAAAACGATGGATTAAAACAGTGAAGTGATGTCACTTATGCCTTTCTGATGGTGGTTTTTGGTGATATCTTTCGTTTTGGGCATCACTTGTGTCTTTCATGTTGCTTGGGACTAATGGTCTCGAACGAGCCCGCTGGTATGACCACAAAACATAGACACGAGTGAATTGATACCGAGCTGTCTGGTCCTATGATTTCTGGCAACCACCGAAAACCGAACCCTTCGGGGGTGTCTTAGGTGGGGGTCACGGGCAGGGTCATCGGAATAGATCATAAAATATTCCGAGGGGGACGTTATTATTCCAAGATTTGGGGGACGTCTAGAATAATACACCGCAGCCCGGGTCCGCAACCAGGGTGTGTACGCAACTTGGTGGGCCCGGTACAGTGAGGTTAACTGTATGTTTGACATCTTTCCTGCTTCATTTTGAGTGCGCTGCATCTGCATTTGGGTGTATTTTGGTTTGTGTTTTTTTGCTCTAGAATTTCGGAGTTGCTACCCCGGTGTCCACAATGGAAGGGTTTTGCCCCTAATCCTAAACCCCGAAACCCCAAACCCAGAAACCCTGAACCCAGAAACCATAAACCTCTGAACCCTGAACCCCTGAGCCAGAAACCCTAAACCCAGAAACCCTAAACCCCTAAATTCACTAAATCCTGAACCTAGAAACTCTAAGCCAGAGGCCCTAAACCCAGAATCCCTGTATTCC